AAACATGAACACAAAGAGAAGGAATGAAATTGACAGAGCCAAAGACACTTACTAGTTGCGATTAACAAATTGGTAAATAAGAAGAATAATTCCAATAATACTTCAATTGTTGATATTATAGAGAGCAGTAGAACCCAAAACTCAGTGCGTCAGAGTTCCCAAGGGTTTCAAATGAACCCCGGGCAGTGCTTGCACTGAGATGATCAGTTAATCGAATCCGGTGGCCTTGGATTTCAGCCGGCCAATAGCCAAAAGTGCAGAAAGTATAGAAGAATTAGATTAGTGGTAACAATAGTTAAGAAATGAATATTTGAGACTTTTTAAAAGGGAATGGGGAAGGGGGTTTATATAGGCCTGAGAAATCAATTCAGAATTAGTTTAGGAGAAATCAAGCGAACCTTATTTCAAGACGGAGAACAAAAATAGTAACAGATCTCACTGAATCGGGCCCATATGGCTTGGTAGTGAGTGTATCATGACAGAAACATGAGGATAGTACAGAATCGGAGTTGAACGAACACCCAATAACTCAACATCCATAAATAATCGAGTACCAAATACTGTAACATTGAGAAAATGGTAAAAACGATCATGTGAGAAAAAAGGAAAGGGGATATGGAAGATTCTCCTTGTGAATTCGGATTAGGGGTAGGGGTTTGAATGAAGGCGGCTAGGGTTTCTCAGAGAAAGGGGAGAGAATGAGAGAATTTCGGGGCGACTGTCTCAGAAAGAATGGGTGTTAGAGTTTGGGTAAGTGTAATTAAAAATGGAGGAATGGCTGTGGGTCATGGAGCATTTAAGATCAACGACCAAGATTAGAGGAGAAGAGGGACGGGTCAAATGAGCAGGTCGCATCCAGGTTGGGTTAATGGGGTTGTTTGGTTTGGGCCAGAGCAGATTGGGAAAAGGTTTGGGCTAGCTTAGGGTGTGGGTTTGTGGATTGGGGTCCGAAATTTGGCTTGTTTTGGGCCAGATTTTAAATAGAAGAAACTATGGGGAAAAAATTTAATAAAATAGATAAATAAACATAGAAAATACTATTTATGAAACTTAATATTTTAAAATAATAGTTAAAGATTATAAAATACCTAAAATATTATTTGACCGTAAATAAAAATAATAAATGCAATTAATCGTAAAGTATAGGCTATTATTGCAAAATTATGTAAAAAAACTTAAAAATATAAATGTTATTATATAAAATAAAGTAAAAATATTATAAAAACATGTATGTGAGTATAAACGATAACTTTGGATGTTAAGTCATCACAGAATAATTTGAGTGAGTAATTAATAAATATTTGAATAATTTAAATGCAAAAAAATCAATTTTAAAGCCTCAACAATTATGAAAAATTACAAAAAATACTTATATGACTCTTGTAAGTTGGTGATGATGCATAAAAGATATTTGAAAGTATATATGATATTTATAAAGATATGAGGGCAAAAATGGATATCAACAACAACATGGTATACTACATCATTCTTCATATGTTGATAAACCCTTTCAAAATGGAGTTGCTGAGAGGAAGAATAGACATTTGCTTGAGATAGCTCGGACACTTTTGTTCCAAATGAAGGTTCCTAAATAGTTCTGGTCTGATGTGGTCTCTACGACTTGTTTTCTAATTAATCGCATGCCATCTACTGTGCTTTGTGGCGATATGCCTTACAGTGTTCTCTTTCCAAACAAGTCAATATTTCCGGTGGAACCTAAGGTATTTGGACGCACATGTCATGTTCGATATGTTTGACCATCTGTTACCAGGTTGGATCCCAAGGAATTAAAGTGTATTTTTTAGGATAGTCTCGCCTTCGGAAAGGGTTTCAATGTTATTCTATTGAGCTTGACAACTGGTGTCAAGTGATGTGGTATTTTCAGAGACTACACCATTCTTCTATGCACCTTCCATTTCAACAAGTCAGGGGGAGGAAGATGAGTGGCTAGTATATAAGGATACTTGTTCTTTGACAGAACAACTAGATGATGTTCCTCCATCACCTAGTTCTTCTATTGAGCACCAATCGACTATTGCGACTTTAGCACCTGTTCCAATCGTGTTAGCAAGACCGCCAATTGTTCAAATTTATTCGCAGAGGTGAGAGATGAATGATACATGTCCTACAATAGTTCCTTCGTTATCTAATCTACCTATGCCTGACCCTACAGAAAACCTTGGCCTTCCTATATCTCTTCACAACGGTATACATACTTGCAAATTCACATATTCCATTGCTAATTTTGTTTCCTATGACCATATATCCTCTATGTCTAGATCTATGATTGCTTTTCTAAACTCCATTTCGGTACTCAAACAGTAAAGAAGGCTTTGAATCCTCCTGGATGGTCTAACACAATGCTTGAGGAAATACATGCCTTAGAGGATAACTACACGTGAGATTTGGTGGATTTACCCAAGGGAAAGAAACCGATGGGATGTAAGTTGGTCTTCATAGTTAAAGTTAATCCAGATGGTCCTTTGGCAAGACTTAAGGCTAGACTTGTGCCTAAAGGGTATGCTCAAACTTATGGAGTGGATTATTCCAACACCTTCTCCCCGGTTTCCAAACTCACTTCTGTCCGCTTATTTATTTCTTTAGCTACTTTCAAAAAATAGCCTTTACATCAGTTGGATGTCAAGAATGCATTCCTTCATGGTGATCTTCAGGAGGAAGTGTATATGGAGCAACCGCCCGGCTTTGTTGCTCAGGGGGAGCATGAGAAAGTCTGTCATTTGAAGAAGCCTTTGTATGTCTTGAAACATAGTCCTTGAGCTTGGTTTGGCAAGTTCAGTGAGGTAGTCCAGGAGTTTGGGCTGAAAATGAGCAAATGTGATCACTTGGTCTTCTATCAGCAATCAACAGTTGGCATTATTCTCCTTGTTGTATATATTGACGATATTATTATCACAAAAGTGACTATGCGGGGATCTCTTCCCTCAAGTCTCCCGGCATACTAAGTTTTATACAAAAGACTTGGGCATGTTGAAATAATTTTTGGGAGTAGAAGTAAGTAGAAGCAAGAAGGGAATTCTTTTGTCCCAGAGAAAGTATATTCTTGACTTGCTTGTAGAAATAGGAAAAATTGGTAGCTAAAGCCTGCAGTACTCCAATGATTCCTGATGTGCACCTTATGAAAGATGATGGTGATCCTTATGATGATCCAGAGAGATACAGGAGGTTAGTTGGAAAATTGAACTACCTCATTGTGACTCGTTCAGATATTACTTTTTCGGTAAGTGTTGTTAGCCAATTAACGTATCAAACATTGGGAAGCTTTGGAACGGATTTTATGTTACTTGAAAGGAGCTCTTGGACTTTGACATATTATATAGCAATCACGATCATACTTGTATTGAGTGTTTTGCAGATGTTGACTGGGCTGGATCCAAAATTGATAGAGATCTACTACAGGTTTTTGTGTCTTTGTTGAAGGAAACCTGGTATCGTGGAGGAATAAGAAGTAAAATATTGTATCTCGATCCAGTGCAGAATCTAAGTACATAGCTATGTCACAGTCTATGTGTGAGATTATGTGGATACATCATCTTTTGACTGAAATTGGGTTGGAGCATCTAATACCAGCAAAACTCTGGTACGACAATCAAGCTGTGCTCCATATTGCGTTAAATCCGGTGTATCATGCAAGAACTAAGCATATTATTGTCTGTCATTTTATTCGCGAGAAGATTCAGCAAAACTTGATCTCCAATGGCTACGTGAAGACAGGAGAGCAACCAGTAGATTTGTTCACAAAGGCGTTAAATGGAACTCGAGTGGGTTATCTTTGCAACAAATTGGGCATGATCAATACCTATGCTCCAGCTTGAAGGAGAGTGTTAAAGAATGAATATAGTCATATTCCTTCGACTATACATAGATGGTATAATTATAGGAATTAATAATTAATCTGTAGGATTTTTTTCTTTATTTCTTTCCATAGTTAGGGATTCTCTGTATAGCCTCTTTATTCCTTTCCATAGTTAGGACTCCATGTACAACTATATATGTTTGTTATGTTGCTCCATGTAATAGAATATACGATTTATTCTCCCATACCTTGTTTATTACACAAACAAAATATTGATATATTGGTTCGAAGGTGCATTCAAACTGAAATATAATTTTTTTCACTCGCAAATCTTCATAGGCGTCTGGACAACACCTGATTTGAAGTTGAAACAGAGTAATTGAAGTTAGAAATTGGAAAAAAGGAAATTTGTAAGGGCAGTTATGTTCACATGGACTTCACTTGGAAATCATTAGAATGCTGGATAATTCACGCCTGTATAAGAAGTCCATCTTTTGGAATATAAAATTTCTTGAAATGATCTTGATGGGAAGGTTTTCCATGACAAACGAAGAGAGTTGCCTTTCTGGTTTCATGGACAACTAGTTAGTAAGAAATTATTCATCATCCGAGTTTTCTGTTGCAAATTCAGCTATGAAAGCTGGCTTTACTTCTCTACAGAATATGGAGCCATCTACCTATAAAAGAACTAGGAAAAGGTCTTCAATGCGCACTTACAATTTGAAGAAAATGACCCTGCAAAGATCTCTCGTATTTAAAGAACAACTATATTTACAAATTTAGTAAGCTTCAACAAGTCTTGACCAATACAGAAACACTAAAGTATGATACTCCTTAGCTGAAAAAAGAGTGAATACCCTTAAACAGACTGAAAGGAAAATCACAAAGCCGAATAAAATGATTATATATTGCAAGAGTAACAGATTCTGTATCCTAGTCCTACGTACAATAATACAGCTTACAACAACTATTCCTACTACTACGCCTCAGTCCCAAACGAGTTGGGAGGGATTCCAACAGAGCAGAGGGGATTCCCTGAGGTCTTCTTAAACAAAATTTTTGCAGGAAAAAAAGTTTATTTTATATACATTCCATGACCATAGGAAATAGGAAGACATTTAAAAACAAGAAACAGAATATCTCATCTAACAAAATGCAAATTATGCACATCAAGTCACAGATGCAATCAACGGAATCCCCTTGATCCTCTGGATTGATAGAGTTCAAGCCTGCTTTTGGATTCATGCAACAATGTCTCCACCTTTTCATCTTGGTTCAAGTATGCCTGCTTCGACGCCCATTCTAGCACTGAAAGCACCTCGGATTGAGCTAGCTCATCACTATCAGGGACGTGCAATGCAATGTAACATAACAGAAGTAATGCAGAACTCTGAACTATTTTTTCACCAAGGAAAACAAGTTGAATCAAATGCTTTGCCCCTCCCATGCTTACGATCGCTTTGCAATGATCCATGTGAAGGTAGTTATCATTGCACGCAAATTTTGCGAGTGCAATGGCTGCTTCGTTTGAAATCTCTGCTTCTCGTTCATCGAGCAGCTTTCCTAATGGGCTAATCATCGTCGTCTCTGTAACTCGAAAAGTCCTAGCCAAATTCCCAATAGCTCTAATGCACGGAATAAGCAGATTTAAATCTTCTTTTTCGATGATTCTCACAAGTTGATCAACAAGAGCTTTGCAAGCGGGCGAATTAGGCTTGAATGCTGACTTTCTCAAATCAGAATCTTGCTCCGCCACAGCTGTGATTTCCTTTACTGCCATAGCTGAATTGTACTGAATATCTTCAGTCCCATTCTCTAACAGCACTGCAAAGCAAAGCAGTGCTCTTGATTCAGTAATGCTACGGCAAATAGATGAATTTCCCTTGGCTAGTTTCCATAGAGCTCTTGCAGCCATTGCCTTCATATAATCCTTAGTAACAG